AAGATTTGTAGGCAACTTTAGTATAATTTGGGAACGGCCCGTTTTGAGATACTAAATCACCCTCGTTTTTTAGTAGTTTGGAACGGCCCGTTCTAATTTGGGAACAACCCGTTCTAGGCTACTAAATCACCCCTATTGGGCTTTGGGCCCTCGTACAATTTGTGAAAATTGGGCTATTACACCTTCTCTTGGTTCTCCTTGGTCTCCAGAGAGTGTGTCCAGAAACAGTGCCAGAGTGCTCTATTTATAGATTTCAAGACTGGCCAGAATGGCCTATTTCGAGTCCAGAACAGTCTGTTCTGGATCCTTTCAGCATGTGTAAACTTAGCATCTGGAACGACCCGTTCTAAAACCAGAACGACCCGTTCTAAGTTTGCGTTTTAACACACAACGACCATATTTGGAACGACCCATTCCCAACTTTTGAACGGCCCGTTCCCAACTAGGGTTATAGGCCATTTTGGTGGTTTGGAATGGTTTGTTCTAGTTTGGAAACGGCCCGTTCTGGGCTACCAAAAATATGTCCTTTTAGTAGTTTGGAACAGCCCGTTACAATTTGAAAATGACCCGTTCTGGGCTACTAAATCACCCTCAATAAATCTTATGAAAATTACTAAATTACCCTCCATAAAAAGTATGAAAATTGGGGTGTTACATCACGTGCAATTCAACACCCAATCACCAACATCAAAATTGCTAGATCTTGAAATAAACGTTTCCACATTCAATCATACAAATTATAACTTCCCAGAACTCGTTTTACATCCAGAAATTCACCAATTTTATCTTTAATAACTGTTACTCCATAAATTCAACAAAGTTCTCCCCTTAGGGTTCTAACTTTTTTCTACAAAGCATTCAATTAATTACTCTAAAAACATATGATCATCAAATAAATCACATATTCAAAATCTACTCAATAAATCACATCAAACGAACATAACATTTTATCAAATAGAAACTTATGGGATTGGGGTCAATCCCTCTACCTTTTATACATACACCTAATCCCCAAAAATGAGTGTTCTCAATCCCCTTACCTGGAGTGATGGAAAGTTTTAGATCTATGCCTCTGGCTCCTTTCTAATGACTTCTCCTCCTTGTTCTCTAGATGCGTCCTCTTGAGCACATGACGTTAGAGAACGTGAGAATGAAAAATGAATAATAATAATAATCTCTCCTTTCTTCTTTCTCTTCTAATATATAACTTTAATGACTAGGGGAAAGAGGCACTTCGTGCCTCTAAATATTTTTAAAAGCAAAATAAACAAAAAAATATAATAGTGTGATTGATTATTTAAAGTTGATTAATGATAGTTCTTAAAAATATTTATTTATTTTTCTTAAAATTTAAGGGTATAATCGTCCATAATTGTGGAGACGAAAAACGATTACGAAAAGAAGTATTCCTTTTATCTATTAGTATAAATATAGATAAATTAAAAATAAAATAACAAAAGATCAATTTAAATTAATTCAAATTTTATGCTATATTTAAATTAAACCAAACTGAATCACTTTTTTTTAATAAAAAAAACAAAATTGAATTATACGAAATTTTAAATACCTTTATTCCAGATTATTTTATTCAGTTTCAATTTTAATTATTTATTATTGGTTTGTCCAATGTACATGTATATTTATTATATAATTAAAATTTATAATAAATTATATATAAATAAATATTATGTTCAAATATATAAACTAAATTTATAATTAATATACATAAATATTTTTAAACATATAAATTTATATTTTAAATGTATCATAAATAACTGTCTAATTAGATAAGAACTTAAAATTTTTTTCTACAAACTCTCTTGTTAAAAAAAAAAATCTTTCCTAAAATCATTATCATATAAAATAAAAGTTTTTATTTAATATATAAGAGTCGATTTAAATCATATATTTATTCATACATTTAAATCGTATATTTAATTAGTCATAATCGTTGAAGCTAGTTTATCACAATAGATATCCACCCAAAACATTCAAGATAGGAGAAAATTACTTGTTCAATAAGATTAGATTCATGCAAATATTTATTGGTAAAAAAAATTGAAATGAATGCTATTGAGATGCTTTATTATACATATTTATTATATAATGATTTAATTTAATAAAAATTAAAATAATACTTTTAACCGTTAATTTTGCTCTCGCAATTCATAAATCTATTTGATTGTTTTCATTTTACATTTTTGTTACACTAAATTTTATTTATTTAATTTGTTATAACTACTAATCTTGTATATTATTTTTTAATTATTTATTTTATCATGATTTAAATTCTTTAATTTTTACAAAATGACCAAATTTTTATTTAGGTCTACGTAAAAATATTTTTATCGCTCTAAAACTTAGAACAAATAAATTTAGATGATTTGAATATATTTTTAGTCTCTCAAATTTAAAGTAAGATTATTTTTAATCCCTCAAATTTAAGACTAATCTTATTAGTCTTCATAATTTTAAAAAATCTTATTTTAGTCTATATACTCAATTTTTAAAGGAAATTTGTTAAATATTATTAGAGTTTAGGGTTTCTGTTAGTGAAAATATAACATTATTAAACTCAATTAATGTTGTATAGCTGTCTTTATATATCACTTTTAAATATGTTATTAATGATATGAGAGATTAGCACAAAATTTTTAAAATTATAAAGACTAAAAATATAATTTTAAATTTGAGAGATAAAAATAAATTATATTCTAAATCTAAAAGATTAAAAACATATTTAAGTCAATTTACACTATGCAAATATCTATTGTTAAAAAATTGAAATGAATGTTAGTTTAGATGCTTTATTATATAATATATTAAATTTAATAAAAGCTAAAATCATACTTTGAAGCATTAATTTTACTGTCACAATTCATAAATCTATTTTAATGTTTTCATTTTATATTTTTGGTTTATTAAATTTTATTTATTTATTTATTTATTTTGTTACAACTTATAAACTTTTTAATAATTAATTATTTTATTATAATTAAAACATATTTTTAATCCTTATAAATTAATCAAATTTTTATTAAGGTTCATGTATAAAAAAATTTCTAAAATTTAGAACTATTATTTTTAGCCGTTATTATTATGTAATTATTTTAACTATTTATTTGTTTATTAAATAGTCAAGTGACTATCTCATTTGTTACCAATAATTGTTAGTGATATCAGGTTATAGGTGTATGATACTTCTTTTTTTTTTTTTTTTATAGATCCTTAAAATAAATGTTATTGATCTACCTTAAAATTATCGTTAGGATAAAAAATAGTGTGATTTTAGAAGGATGGAAATCGAAGAAAAATATTTTACAGAGTGTAAAATCAAAATTTACTAATTTTACAAGGACAAAAAAACAATATTTTTAAATCTGAGAAAGATGAAAATTAAGAATTTTTTTTTATGAAAACTAAAATAAAAATTCACTCATTTTACAACGATAAAAAATATATTTAACCTTTTTATTATATTAGATTTAAATTTAATTAAATATTTATTTGCTATATTTATTCCTAAAATATAAAATAGCAAATTAAAAGATTAATAATAATTTGAATACATTCATAAATAAAGAAAGGTTTAAATATGTTTTTAGTCTCTTAAATTTAAGATAATTTTTTTTTTATCCCTCAAATTTAAAATTGTTATTTTTGGTCCTTGTAATTTTCAAAAATCTTATTTTAGTCCCTTAAATCATCAATAATATATCTGAAACTAATAAATTAAGATAGTTATGTGATAAGAATTGGATTTAAGTTGATATTTTCATTAACAGAGACACCAATATATAGATTTTATGCAATAATATTTGATAATTTTTTTAACAAATTTTGAATATAAAGACTTAAATAAATTTTTTTAAAATTACAGAGACTAAAAACATCAATTTTAAATTTGAAAGACTGAAAATTAATTTATCCTAAATTTGATGGACTAAAAACATATTTAAGTCATAAAAAAATATGTTGTTCACTTGGGTTTTTTTTTCTTTCTAAAATACAATAATTCAACTTTTTTCTTCCCATCCGGTGATTGTTTTTAAGATTGTATCCTACGCCATGTGAATCTAGATCGTTCATTTTTTCATGAATATATCATACGGACACAGATTGTCTTCCACAGTGGGAGATATGTGAAGATGCCCCCATGCTAGCCTCAGTCCACTTTCCAATGATAAAAATAAAGAAAATGAAGAATGATAGAACATGGTGAAGGCCAATGTGGCTTAATTTGATCAAATCTTCAAAGAGTGGGTCCAACCTATGCTTTAGTGGTAAAGGCTACTCAACAACTGAACCAAAAAGGAACACAAGGTGCGACATGGACTAAAGCTAACAAAATCACAAACTAGATCAATTCAAATATAATTGTAAGCTTTATAAGAGATTTTAGGTTAAAATTCTTTTTCCCTTCTATAATTTTATTTATTTTATTTTTTAATACTTATAATTTAAGTAAAATTTTTTAATCATTATATTTATGTTCATCAATTTTAGTCTTTATAATTGTGGTATATTTTTATTTTTTAATCTTTTAAAATTTTATCATTAATCTTTTAACGTTGTCTATTTTGTATTGACGTGGTTGAGATATTTAATTTTGTAAAAGTAAAAAATAGATGTGTCAACAATAAGTCTTGCAGGTAAAGATAAAAAAAAACACAAAACATAAAAAAATAACTATAACGAAATAAATCTATTGTTAGATATATAAAACTAAATTAATACTTCTGTTAATTCAATAAAAAAAATAACATTATAAGAAAATTAATAATATGAACTAAAAATATTAAAAAAAATTGTAAGTATATAAAGACTAAAAATATTTGTGTTAAACTATAGAGATTAAAAAGTATTTAAAAAGATAAGAATAAGAATCAAATTAAGATTTAAAAGATAGAGTAATATATGACTAAAAAGAAAATATTTTAACCAAGATTTTATTGTGTTTGTTCTTCATCTAATGGTCTATAAATACCACCCCACACAACTCTGATCCACATAGAGCATCCTATAATACTTGGAGAAAGAGTTGAATCTTTGAGAGATGGAGAATTTCCCGGTTATCAACTTTGAAAAGCTCAATGGTGAGGAGAGAAAAGCAACCATGGAGAAAATCAAGGATGCCTGTGAGAACTGGGGATTCTTTGAGGTAACTTCTGAACCCAAAACAACTTTTCTCTCATCATCAATTTCTGCATTAACTTTTCTCTACATCTATGATCTTATTCAGTGTCTATTTAAGCAAACTTTCCAAAAACACCAAAAGAAGAAAACAGGAAAAATAAAATAAAATAAGTTTTTTGATAAACTAAAATTCACCACTAATTTGTGAACACTTTTTCCTGTCAGTTTCTCCAAAATTTTATTTTTAACCGACAAAAAATAGTTTTAATTTGTGAAAAAAATTATTTTGATTTACTTTCTTGTTTTTTCTTTCTCAGAGAAATTTATCTAAATGGACATTTTATCATGCTTCTATTGATTATTATTTAATTTTGAAAATTGTAGCTGGTGAATCATAGCATACCTTGTGACTTAATGGATACTGTGGAGAGGTTGACTAAAGAGCACTACAGGAAATGCATGGAAGAAAGGTTCAAGGAATTGGTGGCTAGCAGAGGGCTAGAGGGTGTCCAAACTGAGGTCAAAGATATGGATTGGGAGAGTACCTTCTTCTTGCGTCACCTTCCTGAGTCAAACATTTCTAAGATCCCTGATCTTGGTGATGAGTACAGGTTATTACACAAGTCAAATATTTGCTACCCCATAACCTTAATTAAATGTTACACTACTATAGTTCCAACAAGCACATAGAATCACAAATAATTGACACAACTTGTTTTGGCTTCGGGCATGACAATATAAAAACAGGGTTCTCATAAAAATAGGAGAAGATATGAGATAAACATTACATTACCAAATGAATAGTGATGATTCCAAAAATAGTAGATGGACCTTAGCTTCTAACTATGTTAGCATTGCAATGACTCATGCATGCAGGATGGTGATGAAGGAGTTTGCTTTGAAGTTAGAGAAACTGGCAGAGGAGTTGCTAGAGTTGTTGTGTGAGAATCTTGGACTAGAGAAAGGGTACCTCAAAAAGGCCTTCTATGGCTCTAAAGGACCAACTTTTGGCACCAAGGTTGCAAATTACCCTCCATGTCCCAAGCCAGACCTTGTGAAGGGTCTTCGTGCCCACACAGATGCTGGTGGCATTATCCTTCTTTTTCAAGATGACAAGGTTAGTGGCCTTCAGCTACTCAAGGATGGTAAGTGGATAGATGTGCCTCCAATGCGCCATTCCATTGTTATCAACCTTGGTGACCAACTTGAGGTAAATTGTTTAACTCAATATGTCCAATAGTTAACTAGGGATTATAGGAATACATTTTCTAATACATTTTTTTTTTCTCAATACACTTTTGATCTATTGAAATTTATTGAAGATTATAAAATTTAATAGGTCTCACTTCATGATTCTCTCTCTTATTTTTTTATGTTTTCAATGAAAAAAAAATATAAGCGACCCTTTTTTTAAAAGTCTAATTCTAACACTTTTAATTGTTGGTTGAAATTTGTTGAAAATTACATTTTTTTTAATATCATATCCCATTTAATCAATCACTCTTGATTTTGTAGTAGGATCATCAAAATTTATAATTTTTAACCTAGTAGAATTAGTATTAAGAAAACAGTATTGGAGATATTATCACTAATGTTTTTCTTTTAATGAATTGTTATAATGCCACTAACACTCTTAAAAGATATATTTTTGAGGTGTTAACACTTTTCATAATCAGAGTGTTTATATTAGCCAATAAAAAAGAGTGTGTTAAAAGAATTTCGATTGTTAAAATATCATTAATACTTGTAAGAGAAATTGTCAAAGAGATACACCCTTTGTGAAAAGAGTGTAGTAAGAGAACTCCTTTAGATAGTGCATTACTAACACTCGAGTTTAATCATTAACTGATTATGTTGAATGCAAAATTGTTATTCTAACCAAGCACTATTTGGTTAAACAGGTAATCACCAATGGTAAGTACAAGAGTGTGGAGCACCGTGTGATTGCACAAACTAATGGGACCAGAATGTCCATAGCCTCATTCTACAACCCAGGTAGTGATGCTGTTATCTACCCAGCCCCAGCATTGGTGGACCAGAATAATGAGGTGTACCCTAAATTTGTGTTTGAGGACTACATGAAGCTCTATGCTGGACTGAAGTTCCAGGCCAAGGAGCCAAGATTTGAAGCCTTCAAAAACCACCTGGGTCCAATTGCAACTGCTTAATTAAATCTGTTTTACTATAAAGATGTTTGTTTTGCCAAAAACTATGTTAAGAAAAGGCTATGTTTCCCAAACGAGTATTAAATTACTATGTTAGTGATGTGATTCCATATAGTATCACCAAATAAAAGAAAATGAATGTTTAATAATAAAATATTATATCATGTTCAATAAAAACTTATTGGCTCTCTCTCTCTTTTTCTCTCTTCATTTTTCCCTTTCTGGCTGGACATGAATCATGAAGCCTAAGATGTGTTATGGACCACCAATGTTTATGTGTAGAAGTTCTCGGCCATGAAAGAATGTAGGCCCAGATTTATCAATTGTATAACAACTAAACCAAAGAAATTCGACACAAACTAAGTAATACCAGAAAATATTAAAGAGAAAGAAAAAGGCTAAAAAGGAGGCATTTTGAGAATTAGAGAAAGTATAAAAGCAACATTATTTTTGTCATTTTTAATTTTTCATATGTATTTTGGTTATTATTCTAATAAAAAATATTGTCAATTGTAAAATATCATTTATTCCTGAGCATTGTACTTATTCTCAAAGGCCAGTTAGATTTTCGAAGTAATTATTAGTCAAATTGAGATTTAATAGGATGAAAGCGAGATGAAATATTTAGAATTTTCCATCAATGACAAGCTTTTAATAGTGCTTCCTTGCCATAAAAAGATAATGTTATTTTTTGTACTATATTAAAAGGCAAAACACATATCGTTTTTTTTTTTTTTAGTTGTGATTGTTTTATAGATTTTTTTCACATATATTATTTAAACTGTGAAGCAAACATCCTAAATGACAAAAGTAAAATTATGTAACTATTGTGAACTTTTTGTTAATTAACATTGTTGGGTTTGAGGGAAATGGAGGGAGGAGAGAGAAGAGAGTGATCTTTTTTTTTATATAATAAATTTTTGTTGATTGGTTCAATTTTTAAGAGATGAGAGTTAAATTTTTATTCATCTAATTTTATCTCACATATTAGAGGGGTTTGGGGAGTATGAAAGGGATCTAAAATGTTTTTATTATAATATTTAAAATATCATTATTTATGTTTCAAAATTTAAAATGAAAGAATTACAAAATTAAAATAAAATTTAAAATTTCTCATCTGTTTTTATGAATGAATTACGAAAAGATTTACTTTCTCCCTATTCATCAAAATCTGTGCTCCCTACCCTCCTTTAATCCAAACAGAAGTGGCTTCAACACTTTAAATTAATGGAGGTGATTTGAGTTATAACAAGTTATCCTAGCACGGATGTGCCCGAAACTTTTTTTTTTATTTTTTAAATACAAATAAGAATATGACAAACAACGCCATAATTTTAAAATGTCTATCAATACATTTTTTTTAAATATAGAAACATTAACATGATATAAAATAAAATGTTTTAAAATATAGTTAAATTACATAATTTAAATATACAAAGATATAATATAAAACATTTTTATTTAAAAATCTAGTCTACATGATTTGCATTTGTGCTAAAATATAACTGGATGAAAATTTTATTCAAAAATAATAAAATAGATATGATGCACGTAAATTTTATACTATTATCTCACAAGTCATTATTTATAATAAATTAATCTTTATAATAAGCAAGAAGAAGTCATTTTAATAAAGGTATATAATTGGTTGACAATATAAAATTATTATTTTACATTATCACCATATAACTGTTAAAATCTTCAAATTTTTAGTCTCATTTAAAGATTTAATTTGTATGAGTTTTGTCATAAGATACATATAAAAGTAGAAAAATAAATTAATTACATGTAATAATTATATACTATATATTTCTTTTAATAAGTTATTAAACTAATTTCATTTTTCTATGTCAAAATTATTATTTTTTATATATAAACCTTTGTTATTCTTTTCATGAATCAAATATGTTTTTAATACATTTATTAGTATCGAAATATCTTATGATTTGTCAAATTACTTTGGTAAATAAAGTTAATCATTTTATACGATATGTGATATTAATTTATTGTTGTTTTATAACTAAGAGTTAATTAGTTAAAATCGTTGAATAATAATAATAATAATAATAATAATAATAATAATAATAATAATAATAATAATAATCCTTACAATTAAATAAAGAAGACATCCTTTGAAATATAATTATTTTAATTTCTATTTTTATATGAACTCTTTTTTTTCTTTTCTTTTTTTGTTGCTTATAAATTTAAAATCACCTTTTACTTTTAATATCAAGTCTCAAAGTTGTTTACTTTTCATAAATAACTACCGACTTCATAATTTTTTAATTTATTTAAGAAATAGAGAGACGTGTAATATCTCTTTCCTTTTAATAATAATAAAAAAAACTCAACTTGGACCAATTCAACTGAAAATAAGATAATACATTGGTCTGAGTTGATAATTTTGGTGTTAAGTTGTAGGATATTGAGGTCTTCTTACATGTACTCACTTTCAGCTTTGGTCACAACAACGTCACCTCCTATGATGATCTTCTAGAGGTGGTATTGGGTGGACTAGATAAACATTTTCATCTTGTCCTTCCAATAAAGGTAGTCTTCTCCATTAAAGGCTAACGGCCTTGTAAGAGAAGCTTATTATGGTAAGTAATTGTCTTTCATTACTTTCCATCTTAGGCTTTTCCTTCAACACAATTAGATGTTCAACCTTATCAAAGATTGAGCTTTGATACCAAATTTTGAAGAAAAGAAAGACACTAGAAAGGGGAGTTGAATAGAGTCATTCAAAAATTCATACATTTTAGAAATAGTGAAGTAGTAACTTTACGAAGAAGTGCAGATGAAAGTTAAGAGACTAAACACATGTGATTTTTATATTGGTTCGTCTTAACCACTGAGATCATGTATAGTTCTTGATCCAACCAATCAAGTTCACTATCTTATACAAAGATACAAGCATTCTTTTATAAGTCACTTCTAGCTCAAAGTGTTATTTGACTTGTCTCTTCATATAACTACCCAAGTATTCTTTCAACACAAAGTCTCTCTAGGCTTTAACGACCAAGTATTTTCTTGAGACAAAGTCTCTTCAAGCTTTAACAACAAGTATTCTTTTATAGTCAAATATCTTTAATCTCAAAGCAATAACACTAAGTTATAGTTGGGTAAAAACTAACAATGTGCACTAGTGCAAAAGAGGCTTTTTACGTCTGTGTTTTCATGTCGGACCAAAACATATCGGACGTAAAAACGACGCGGTGGCATTTTTGAAAATAATGAAAACTTTTTTACGTTGGACCCTTTGTTCTCCGACGTAAAATAGTTTTTTATAAATGCATAGTTAAGTTGCGTAGCGCCTCTCCATTCAAAAATGCATTGTTTCGCATGCACTTCGCGCCATTGGTTGGGAGCACTCCGATTTCCTTCCCGTTCTTCGCTCATTTCCTACGTTCGAAGGTTCCTTTCTTATCTTCTTCGCTCCTTTCGCTTTTCTATTTTCTTTATTCACCAGATTGCATGGTATCATAATGTTTATCTTTGGCTGCAGACAGGAGCAGAGTATGACAAGGAGTGCAAAATTTGTACAAGGCCTTCTGGATCTTGAATATGGACTATCAGTTCAAGTTAGGGACACAACTCTCAGGAGAACGGGCCATTCTCGCAGAACGGCCCGTTCTGCGAGGAGAACGACCCGTTCTGCAAGGAGAACGGGGCGTCCTCCTTGTAGAACGACTTGTTCCAGCGTAATTTTTTTTGGGTTTTGCAACTTTTTTACGTCAGTGGTCAAAAATCTTCGACGTAAATTTACGTCGGTCTTAAATGCTGACGTAAATTTACGTCTCCCGTTTTAACGTTGAAAGTTTTTCTGACATAAAAGCCTTAAAATAGCTGACGTAAAAAGTCTCTTTCGCACTAGTGGTATTTTTCTCTTACTTGCAAGATGCAATACAACCAATATAATACAAAGCTATTTTATAGAAAAAAGAATATAATCAACAGTTGGTTTGGTTCTCTTCTTCTTTCTAAATCCTCATGCTTCCTTATATAGATGCTTTAATGAAGATGACCATTGCAAATCCTTAAGCATATCTCACTGGCTTGCTTTTTTGTCTTCATCTTTATTCCTTGTGGAGAGAAGTGTTTGTTGGTGCATTAAATGCTTTCACCAAATAGTCATTTCTTATTTGATCAAAAAAGTTATTTATCACCTTTTAGGTATCGAACGGGTGTAACCATGTGTGTGATTTAGATTACATTTGAGAGTGAATTTCGGTCACCCCATGTGCATGAGTGCACATGGCCGAAATGCTCTCTAAATGTAATGCCAATTACATGTAAATTGAGATGCACATGACAACCTTCTTAAACCTAAATTCAAATTACAATGAAATGAAATTCCTACACTACTTGGCCAAAATACAAAGCCCAAAAATACAATACAAGCCCAATGGGCCTAAAACTAATCTACATGGGCTTGAGTTAAAGCCCAACTAAAAAGTACTATGGGCTTCTCTTTAGCACTGGCCCATTCTTCATGCATCCTCTTGGCCATAGCCCTAGTAGTTGGGCCCTTGGCCCATGGGCCTCCATCAATAACTCATTCGTCTTAGTGCCTATTCGTCTTAATGCTTCTTTTGCAAAAATTTTCACTAAAACATGTTTATATTTGTTGACATTAAAACTTGAAAACCTAAGGGGTCTAAAGTTGTTTTTTGACATAACACTTTCAAATGAACTACTTCATCTAGCTACGATGAGTGCATTAAATATATCATTTATGATGTTTAATAACCAATTCATTTGTGTTTGTGATATTCCTTAATAGATCAAAGGAATAAAACTTTTTTAGCACTTGGAATTTAGAAAGGAAAAGATATTTGACTTTTGTCAGAGAAAAGGACAACCAAATATCTTGAAGCATGTGAATTATTAGATAAAGTCATTTTCGACTGACACATGAAACAATTTCTCCTCTTTTGTAACGTAAAGGTGATAAGTAGTCTCCTTGATCAAATAAGAAGTCATAATCTGATAAAACACACTTAAAGCTCGTATTTAATACACCAATAGATATCTTATTCTAAAAAAAATAAAGATGAAGGAAGATGAAGCAAGCCTGAAAGAGAAGCTCAAGGATTTGTAATGGTCATGTTCTTAAAAGCACCTATATAAAGAAGCTTGAAGATTCAGAATAAAGAGACACAAATAGATATTCATTGTAAATTCAT